TTACAGGTATATGCCACCACACCTACCTTGTAAGGGACTTTCTAACAGCGTGAAACAGCAGAGCCAAGGTTAGCGCTAAAATAGCATTCCACTTACAGGCGTGAGCCTAGTGTGGGGACTACACAGCTCCGCAGGGGGGCAATGGGTTATCCCTTCTTGCTTCTGACAAATGCCTCTGGCCCTGGTCAACTTGGCCACACCCCTGGACTCTTGGGAACGCCCCAGGAGTCCCCAGGACCGGAGAGTGTCTTCTCCCCAGGCAGCACCCTTCTACAACTAAACAAACCAACAAAACTCCACACTCACATGCCCACCGGATACACGTGACCCTGGCTGCATGTCAATCTGGCAGCTGGTCAATCTGACCACCCTCTGCTTGTGGAGAAAAGAGGCCACAGCTCTCTTTCACACAGTGAGCCTGCAGACAGCCTGATCCCTGCTCTCTGCAAGGGTGATCTAAAACACTTCAAAAACTACATGCATTGTGCCAGGGGTGGAGGTACACGCTTTTAATCCCAGCACTCAGGAGGCAGAGACAGGCAGGTCTCTGAGTTCGAGGCCAGCCTGGTCTACATACTGAGTTCTAGGACTATATAGTGAGACTCTGTCTCCAAAAAGTAAATAAATGAAAATAATTTAAAAATACGTATACTAAAACGGGAAAATTTAAAAATAGAAATTAAGGTCAGAGAAAAGATCAGGGAAAAATTAGGATATCAATATTCACATCACAGAGACTCAATTCCTGAAGGTGAGGTGTGAACTGGCTCTCAGCTTCCTGGCAGCCAAAACAAAAGGAGAAAGAAGATCTGTTTCCTGAATCAGTTCTCTGAAGTAAACACACGCCTTTCCTTCAGGGGAGGCCACAGCATTCCTACACTGAGTTCTGTCCCAACCCTGAAGGACCTGATGGATGAGAAAGCACCTTTCCCTCCTTCCTCAGGCCCTGTCCAGCTCCTCTGTTGCTTCCTCTGGACCCCACGCTGCTCCACTCTCGGCTCCAGCTTGCACTTGACCGGGTGGCTACAGCCTGCAACCTGCAGCATCTCCCTGTTCACATCTGAGGTGGGAAGGCTTCGCTCAGATTCCCTCTGGAGACTCAGCCTCCCTGAGTAGGCATTTCCTGAGCCAGGGTGAGCCAGGGCCCCCGGGTGCAGTCATTCCCTCTTCCAACAAGGCACTGCCCGGAGTGGCCTTTTCCGAAAGCCTTCCTCCCCACCCCAGCCTTTCCTCATAGGCAGTGCGCTGTGCTGCCTGGCTTCCATGGAGACTCCCTTGGCCTTCCTGAGTGTCTCGGGGTGAGGTCCCACCTGATACTGCTCCCTCCCCACAGCCAGTGTCCACATTCTGTCCTGAGTCACCCTCTCTTCCACCCCTTTTGGTTTAACCACTTCCTGACCTGTCTGTCTTCTAACCAGCAGAGTCAGAACGGCATATTTGAACACCCCTCCACACACACCATGTAATTTTCCCTCCAATCTATTTCTCACCGAGGTTTGGCATAGTGCATTTCTGAAAATTCAAGTGGGCTGGGGGTGGCTTTGTGGTAGAGTGCTTGCTTAGCATGCAGGAGGCTCCAGGCTAAATTCTCTAGCACCTCAAATGAAAACAAAGCACCCCCAAACCTGAAGTGGCATGCATGACCACGCTGAGACTCTTCTCGGCTGTGGTCTTATGGCTCGCCTGCATGGTGCTGTCTGCCTGTCAGTCACCAGGATGAGGCCCTGGCCCACTTCTTGCATAGCCCCGAAGTGTCTGAAAAGAGCCCTTTATTACCCCCATATTACAGATGGGGCCAACACTCAAGACTCTCACCCCATATCCCCAGGGGTTAGGGCAGAGGTGGTCCACAGATGGACATCTGTGCACTTGACGGCCAAACAGGCCTGACTCCTGCATGTCAGGGCTGTGGGTCCTGGGGGTCCCTAGCTTGGCCTGCCCGATTGAATCGTCCCTGTGGTCAGACTGGCTCACTCCAGTGCCCCCCCCAGATGGGACAATCGTGGAGGTGAGGTGGCAGTTCTCCCTGCTTTTACCCACAGGGGCTTTCCAGTAAGCACAGATTGGATTCTCATCCCCCTCGGCCCCAGTGCATGGCTGGGGTGACCTCCCTGTGCTGTCCAGCCTGGGGTAGCACCATGCCTTCCTCCTGTCCCTTCCTGGATTTTTCTGGAAGCAGACAGCTCCTTGTGTTGTCACCCTCCCCTCTGCTCAAGGGGAGGTCACACACACCTATCGTCTTCACCCACAACTCTGACAAAGCCTTGGCTCGTGTGCTGGCCCTGGCCTTTCAGACCCTTTGGATTGGACAGTCCAGGGACCACCTGGTCCTGAGTCTGCCTCAGTTTCCCCAGTGATGCCCCACGGTGCAGCCGAACCTGGGTGGATAGTATGGGTTGACACTTGTTCACTCTGGGTTCTCGGCCACTTGGAGACAAGGGACAGCCCTCCAGAGGCGCCCTCGTGGAGGCTACAGCGACGTCAAAGCAGGGACCAAAGCGGCACTTGCAAAGGGGACTCTAAGGCTGCGGAAGCAGAGGGCGAGACTGGGTGAATAAATATGTGTTCCCCCACCGTGGGGTCCTGGTGCCCGCAGCCCTCGTGGGATCTAGACATGGCAGATCAGGCTTTCAGTGAAGGGCAGCTCCTGGGAACTTCTGGGTTTTTTGCTTTGTTCTCAGGAACCTGAGGTGGGAAACAGCTTTCCTTGTTCAAGGTCTGCAGAGGATAGGTGCTCTGTTGGGGGACTTGGTGACAGTAGACCCCGAGAGGGCAGGTGGGGTGGAAGTCTGAGTGCTCAGCTACCACTCATCACCCTTGCTGTGCATGTGGGGCAAATCCCTCTCCCCACTTGGTCTTCTTATCTGTGAAATGGGAGCGGCAGCACCCACCTCCCCAGATGGGCTGTGAGGGCTTGTCTGCTCCGAGCACCCTTGCAGAATGGCACGCATCGGTGCAAGGCCTGGGCAAACAAAGAAAGCCGGGAAGCTGCAAGGAGCCTATGTCTTGGCGTGATGGGGGCTGTTGTGGGGTGAACCTTGCTCCACAGTTATCTCTAGCTCTGAGCTTCCTCTCCTGGGTTTCAGTAAGCCTGATGCCGAGGAACCCCACTTTTATGGGTGCTGCTAGTCACAGAGTGGGCGCTGGTTTTGAGCTGGAACCTGATCAGAGATGGTCCCAGAGGAACAGGGCAAGGCTCTCCTCCTTGTGAGAGAGCTCACATCCTAGGCTAATTTTCTGAAGAAGAAATAACAGGAAACTCCCTTTCTTCGTGATCTATAGGCTTCCAGGGACACTTAAAAACCTTTCTAGATTTTTGGGTGGTTTTTAAGAATAAGAAGTTGAAGGTCAAACTGGGTGTGGTGTTGAACACCTGTCAATCCCGGTGGCTCAGGGGGTTCAGCCAATCTGATGGAGATGGAATGCCTGCCTAGCATGTGTGGAAACTGGGCTCCATCCCTAGGGTTATAAGAGAAGGGAAGGGAGCGAGAGCCGTGGAGAAAAGACCTCAGTTTCTTGACTCCTGTTCCTGAGGTGAGCAAGGGCACTGCAGGAGGAGTCAGGCTCCCGGAGGAGCACGGCCTCAGGGCTCACTAGTGTGACTTCAGCGTGGGATAGAACCTGGCCCAGAGGTCTGTGGTGTCTATGTGAAGAATGTAAATTACCGAAGGGCATGACCCTTAGCAGATACTGCAGGGTCAGTGAGACAGTTCAGGAGGTGAAACTGCTTGCTGCCAAGCCTGATGACCTGAGTTCGAATCCCAGGACCCACATGATGGAAGGCGAGAACCAACTCCTGCAAGGCACATGTGTGCACACAAATACACACATACAGAACAAATAAAGGAATTCTTTTTGTTTATTTGAAACAGGGTCTCTCTACGTAGTTCTGGCTGTCCTGGAACTCACTATGTAGACCAGGCTGTCCTTGAACTCACAGAGATCCTCTTGCCTCCCAAGTACTGGGATCAAAGGTAGGTAATAAATGTACTTTTCTTTTTTCTTTTCTTCTTCTTCTTCTTCTTTTTTTAAAGATGTCATTGTAAACTGGATGCCTTTCTCCTCCCGTGGAGAGCCACATTGGAGCCTTTTCCTGTGGCCCTCGCTGTGGCCCGCCCAGGCTTTTTCCCAGTGAAGCCCCTGTCCCAGTGGGCACCCACTCTCTCCAAGCTGGCTCTCATGTCCCAGGTGCTTTCCTATTTCTGGGCCCCAGCACAGTGCCTGGCTCACCAGATGCTAACAAAGAACATGGTAAGGAATGCCAGCTGGGAGGGGACATGGGTGCCTGGCAGTGCCAAGGAACCAAAGTGTGATTAGTTCTAATCAACAAATGACTCACTGAACTGGGTGTGGCAATACATGCCTGTCACTGCAGCTCTTGGGAGGCTGAGGCAGGGGGATCAGGAATCCAAGGTCAAGCTTTTGTTTTTTTTTTCTAATTAATTTAATGTGTATAGTGTTTTGTCTGCATGTATGTCTGTGTATCACATATATGCCTGGTGTCCACTGCGGCCAGAAGAGGATGTTGGATGCTCTGGAACTGGAGTTATAGATGGTTGTGAGCCACTGTGTGGGTGCTGGGAATTGCACCCGTGTCCTCTGGAAGAGCAGCCAGTGCTCCTAACCACTGAGACATCCCTCCAGCCCCATTCTTGACTACTTAGCAAATCTAAGGGCAGCTTGGGGGGACATATATGAGACTCTATCTGAAAACATTAGCAAGAGAACAGAGAGGAGGGAGAGGAGAGGAGAGAGGAGGAGAGGGAGGAGAGGGAGGAGGAGAGGGAGGACAGGGAGGGGTAGGGAGGGAGGAGGGGTGAGGGAGAGAGAGGCAGAAAGAGGAAAACTGAAACAAACAACAGAGCCCAACTGAGTGGCCATACTTTCAGAGTCAACAAAGAATCCCAGAGTGAACTTGCTGTCAAATGAAAAGAAACAGGAAATTTGATCAATCCACCTCTTCAATGGAGCCTGAGAAGTGGGACACAAGAAGACCAGTGTTTCTTTAATAATGAAATAATTTATTTGTTAATGGACGGACACATTAAGTTTACACACAGCAAGGAGCCTCTAAATCATGATGGTTTCTAAAAACACAAGTGCTAACTGCAGTCCCCCCACCCCCCAAAAAAGCACCATTCTCCACAGTCTTAACACAGGTTTACATTGGCACCATATTTACATAAAGAAACATCTGGAAACACATTTCCCATCCTTCACCTGCAGCTCTCCTGTGGAGGCTGTTCACCTTTAGAAAGATGGTCCCCCAAACTAGCCACTCAGCAACATTCCAGGAGCACCAATTCTAGGGACAGCGGTCGGGGCAAGCCTGGCTTTTAGGTCAAAGCTAAAGTGAAGAATGCCCACCTGACCCACTGCCCTCCCAGGCAGAGTAAGAACTCAAAGTAAGAAATCCAGATACACCTTAGGACAGAACGCCTTCCGAATTCTCACTGTGTGATTTTGAGATACCATACACACTCGATTTCCTTGGCCATCCACGATCTGAATGCAATGGTGCCAATCAGTTATGTCTTCTTTTAGAAGACCACAGTAAAAGAAAAGTACTAGAAGTATTGATGAATCACATTTCACACCACCTCAACCCAGGATCTTCGCAAACAAAACATGCTGCAGACTACAGCTCTGAGCGCACGGAACGAGAGAAGCCAGCACACAGCCCAAGGGCGGGGCTGTCTTCTCCCAGAAAGCACTAAGCAGGAGTAGCAGCGATTGCAATACCAAAGAGACACAGAGAAATAACAGAAAACACACAGGGATGGTAAAGTAGGAAGACAGAACAATGTAGCCACCCCAGGAAGGAAACCAGAAAACACGATTTCGGTGATAAATTACAAAGCACAATACAAGTGGTATTCCTGCCAATATAGCATGGTATAAAACCTTAATGTGTCTATATACGCTCTTCAAAAAATAAGTTCTCTCTTGAAGGGACAGGGAAGAAGGCAAGAGGGAAAAAGTCCACAAAACTCATCGTCAAGTCCCCAAGATATTGCTAGAAGGTTTTGAGTATCATATGCCATCTCCTGTGTTCTTAGACCCCAAATGCCCTTGGCCACATCAAAGATGGGGAGAAAGGCCACAGGAAACTCAGGGAAACCTTGGCTTCTTTTGAACACAGCAGGGGGTAGGTGAAAAAACCACTACTTTGAAACCAAACAATAAAACTATCCCAGCAGCCACCTCACCCATCCCTGCTGGAGTCACCCAGCCTTGGGTCAAGAGGGAGAATCTAGGTCCTGTGACCTTGCTAAGGAGCAGCAGGTCTCCGAGGTCAGAGGCAGCAGGCAGCTGCTACTGAGTTCAAGATACCTGGTCAGTGAAAGGAAACCCAAATCAACGGTGCTGGGTGCTGGGCGTGCACCCAAAGCCAGTCCTGGGTTTTCCAGGACGGTGCAAATGTTTCCTTGAGGAATGAAGGAAGTCGAAGGCCGAGCCCCTGATTTCCTACCTGCATCATGACAGTGAGTGAAGCTTAGGTCTTAGTTTCAAAAGGAACTTCCACATAAAAATATGCACGTGCCCTCACTGACACATTTCTGTTTGTGCATATTGTCAAAGTCTTAACGGCTAGGGTTCACACCTTTGTCCCCCCCCCCCCCCCCCCAACCTAATAGGTTTTTCCTTTTGCTTAAGAAAACAAAAGCCACCCTCAAGTCTAGCTCTTGGCAGACATGCTGGTGATGAGTGAAGGGGCGGGGATTAGCTGCCCTGGCCTAAGCCTGCCGGCCCCCAAAGCTACAGTTTTGGTCAGAGAAAAGCCTGCCTGCCACACTGACTCAGTCTACCTCCGGCTTCCAAAGCCAGGCCTGACCTGGGCAGTTAGCCTGTCCCAAGTGTTTTAAAACCACAGAGATCTACCACACACAGATGCAAGGACCAGCGGACAGGGCAAAGGTCAAATGATACTGCTTTATGTTGAGACAGTACACTTCATACTTCAACCGAAAAAAAAAGAAGAGCAAAAAGGAAAAAAAAGCAGTTTAACTCAAAGGCAAAACAAGGAAAACAGAAAATAAAGGCATCTCTCAGACACCTTCTGAGTGAAATGAACCTGTGCACAGGTTTTGTCCCCTCCCCGCCTGTGCAGCCCACAAGCTTCTCCCTCGGTCTTGACTTTCTGATGGCTTGGATGCAGTGAGCAGACACAATGCCCTCAGGGCCTAGCACATGGGGACTGGAGGGGACCTCAAGGCACAGCTGTGTCTTTTAGACAAAGGACAGACCTGGCCAGCTCCTTGAACACCATCACTCACTCAGACTCTGGAAGGGACTTTATAAATGCAAACGACCCAAGCTGTGTTTCTGTGCTAATTTTCAGCTGGTATTTGGGAAACAATCCAAAGGGGTGGGGGTGGGGCACAAAAACAGGACTTCAGGATCATTAAGGAAGCCATGACTTCCCCAGACCACAGAGTGACCTTGTGTGGTCAGGACTGCTCTCTCTGCCAGGGTCTGTTTGGATCTGAGGAGAGGTGTGTGACTGTGCAGCTGCCTGCTGCCAAGTGAGCCATGGAGCCTTTCGGTGGCACCTGTGGATCTCAGGAATGTTCCATTACTCCGTGACACAGACTTGACTCCGAGCAGGGCACAGATTTTACAAATGGTTCAGACTCAATGAAAAAGATTCACCAAAGGCTGAAAACAGCCAGACCTCAAAATACAAATGCAAAAATATTCAGGGGAATGAACTAATTTGTAGACAGCTACATACAAAGTTTCTAGAACATCTATAAAAGCAGTCGTAAGAATTTATATTCCATTACATTAGTTTATATAAAATGAATAAATAGTATTTATAGGTTTTGTGTGTCTTATGTACATACACATGTGCTCTGGTTTAGCTTAAATAAAAATGCCACAAGGGAAAAAAAAATCATCCTTTTAAGCCATCACCCAGAAGTCTCCAGAAGAAAGCTTCCAGATGTGTCCAAAAATAACTCAGCAGGAGGTTTTGGTGACATGGGGACCCTCCTGTTCACTTGCCACAGAGAAGAAATGTGGCCTCTTTCTCTCAGAGACAGTGGCCACTAGCTCAGCCAGTGCCGAACTTAGTTATTGCTGGGAGTCCAACGGGAAAACAGGTTGGAGTGGCCGGGAACAAAGAAGCGTAATCACTTTTGTTGTGTGGACAATGGAGATCTCATCTATCTCTGAGGTAGGACAATGTTCCAGAGACAAGTAGCATCAACAAACTTGGGGCGCGGGGGTGCCTTGAGACACAGCACACAGCCAGGCCCCCAGAACAGCACGCAGGGGGCACACTGTTCTCCTGAGCTGCCGAGCGCCCGCTCTTAAGCGGGGACACTGAGGCACCGCGGCTGGGCCGCAGCAGGGCTTGCTGGAGGTATTCCTGGCTTCTCAGTGCTCTTCAGTTTTGCTTTCAAAGCTTCCTTTGGGATTTCTGAGACTGAGTTCCCTTTGAGAAGTTTGTTTGCTTCGATTTCCTACGTGCCAGACAAAGCTTGAACTTCTCTCCTGGGCGAGTACCATCATGAGCCAGAATACTAAGAAGGGCCTGGCCGGCTGCAGGACAGTGCACAGGGGCCGCTGAGAAGTGACACTTGCTTAGGGCTGAGGGTTCTTGGGCTCTTCAAATGGACTGGAATGTACGGTCTCTCAGCGTTGACGTGGAGGGACAGAGAAGCTACCACTGAACGCACTCAGAACCGCAACCCTACGTGCTTTCTGCAAAACGGACAGCTGATTTTGGTCAAGGTGGTACGTGAGGTTGGCGTGCAAGGGCGTCTGGGCAGGTTTGGTACACTACCTAATCAGGTGTGGTGGAGAGGACCTGCGGGCCCTCTCCTATAGCCCAAGACCTGCCTTGTGCCCATCCTGGAGCTTGGCTCTCTTGACGCTGGCACTGGCATAGCCCTCGTCACTGCCCAGGCTCTGCATGCTGCCTCGCTCGTCCGAGTCACTCACACTGCTGCTCCAGCCCAGGTCCCCAGTGAGGTAGTCTGTGCTCTCCACATCTACATCCACGTCCACGTCCACATCCACGTCCAGCTCTTCTGCAGGGGATGAGACACACGGGTGAGGACCTGCTGCCGAGCCCCCGGGACGCCTGAGTTTCCCACACCCCTTCGTGGGCACTGCTATCTAACTCTCGCAGTGGGGCTACAGCAGTCCTGCTGCTCCGCTCCTGAAGGCCTGAGCCCCAGCTTCTTAAAGTTTTAGTGCATTTTTATTTAGTGTGCGCATGTGCGCACCGTGGAGGTTAGAGGACAGCTTTCGGGGGCTGGTTCTCTCCTCCCACCATCAGCCCGGTTTCAAACTCAAGCAGAGTGGCAGGTCCATACACCCACAGAGCCACCCCGACAGCCCCTGTGAGGCCTGCCTTATCTGTTCCGGGGCTGGCTCTGTTGCCTGACGCCCCTCTGGCAGGTGTGGCTCACCTCTGTCTGAGTCAGAGCGCTCTGAGGAGACGACAGAGCCCACGCTGTCCATCCGAGTCCTCTCGGCGCCCAGTTTCTCCAGCCGCCGCTTCAGGTGCCGCTGTTCTCGCTGAAGCTGGTCTATTTGGTGAACAGCTTTTCTGTCACAATCCTCAAGTTTCTGCAAGTCAAAGGGTGGTTGTTGGAGTCCATGGGGCGTGTGGAACACCAGCAAAGAACCTATACCTGCCCTGCCAGCAGGGAAACGTGCTGTATATCCGCAGGAGACAGGCCGTGTGCTCCTTGTCGGGCTTCTCTCCTAGACTGGGAGCTGGCTGGCCAGTTCCTGTGGGCTTTGTCTAACTCCAGCAAGCACTGTGGGGCTGGCTTCTCACAGAGATGCAGGGAGAGTTCAACAGTTTGAATCTTACGCCCCTTACCCTTGGTAACCCAAAATACTACAGCTCCCTGACCTGGTCTCCATATCTCCAGTAACCCTCTGGACACCTCTCAGAACCGGAAAGCCACGTAGCATGTGAGCTATGAAACACTATTTAAAAAGACTTTTATCCCAGCGCAGTTCCAATTACAAAACAAGTTCTCACGTCATGCCAAACCCCAATTAACTTCTGTTGCTAGTGGGAAATCAGGGCCCTTTTAAAGTCCTGACTCTGAATTGTCCAACAGAAGCGTCTAGAAGTGCGATTCTGCAGATGACTTATTCTTACAAATCTGCCCCCAGCTCCTTATATTCTGCAGATAATTAATGAGAGTGTTTAATTGTAGCTGTTTTGTTTCCAACTGAGGCTCTCTCCCAGAGCTGTCCTGTTTGCAGGCCGCTAACCGTTAATAAACTGGTATTTGTCTAACCAAGCCATGGCTGAATGGTGATGCTGACTATGGCTCAGTAGTGCACACAGAGTCGACACAGACAGACATCATGAGGCGCTCAGGACGCACGGATGTACAAAGACCTGGTTCTCTTGTGGAGCAACAGTACAGTTCTAGAGACACCCAGCCACCACACAGGACACTGATAAATGAGTACCACATCCATCAGTGAGCCAGGGGCCCCATGACAGGAAAGAGTCAGCAAAGGCCTCGAGCACTGGGGGCCCTGTGCAGAGATCCGCAGCATGAGGGGAGGCTGGCCATGGAGAAGAGGGGACAAGGGACTGCAGAGGGAATGGCAGCTATGGTGGCTCTGGTTCCGGAACACGACAAGCCCAGGAACAGAGGAGGCTGCAGTGGGCTGCTGCAGAGACAGGAGACCCGGTGACAGCTCGTCAGAGCCCCTGAGGCATTTAGAATAATGTGTGCGGCTGAGCTACAGCAGCTTTGCTGCTCAGGGTGCAACAGATGTGTGTGGGGGTTCAGAGCATGTATGAGACTGTGGGGTCTCTTTCAGTTGACAGTGGTGGACACAAAGGTGCTGTGGGATGGTCTGTATGTCAAGTGTGTTGCTGATTGGTCAATAAATAAAACACTGATTGGCCAGTGACCAGGCAGGAAGTAGGTGGGACAAGGAGAGAGGAGAATTCTGGGAAGCAGAAGGCTGAGGGAGACACTGCCAGCTGCCTCCATGACTAGCAGCATGTGAAGATGCCGGTAAGCCACGAGCCATGTGGCAAGGTATAAATTTATAGAAATGGATTAATTTAAGATATAAGAACAGTTAGCAAGAAGCCTGCCACGGCCATACAGTTTGTAACCAATATAAGTCTCTGTGTTTACTTGGTCGGGTCTGAGGGGCTGTGGGACTGGCAGGTGAGAGAGTTTGTCCTGACTGTGGGCCAGGCAGGAAAACTTTAGCAACAAGTCAACAGGTCAAGCTGTGAAACACTGAGGTCTTGGTGATGGTGGGGATACCAGTGGCTCAAGGCATCAGGGCCTGAATTTCTGACTGGACCCTTTAACCAGGTTTTAGATGTTGGGGAGGCAGGTGGGGTGGGAGGAACCCAGAGACCATTGTGGAGACACACTCCTGTTTGTCCCTCACAGCAGGCCTGAGGAGGCAGAGCAGCAGGCCAAGGCACCTACCTTTATGTGCAATTTGGCTTTCGTCAGCAAACTCAGTGTGGTGTGTCGGCTTGACTCAGGGCCGAGCGGCACCAAGCCCTTCAGCTTCTCGAGGCACAAGCGGAGATGAGCACGCCTGTGAAAACAGAACCATGCAGCACTTGAGATCCCTACATGGGTTCTGGAGTGTAGGATTGCCAGACCCAGCAAAGCCTGGTGGCAGCAACACTAAGAGGCCAGGCACCTGCACTGAAGCCCAGTGAGAAGCAGAATTTGGAGCTTCTAGGCTGATTCCATGTGTAATTCCGGGGCGTGGGGTAGAAATCTGCTCGTATCAGGCACTTTTATCAGCTTCTCCTGAATCAGAAGATGACATGCCCAGGGGAAAGTCCTCAACCTGTGCTTCTCTTTCAAAGTTATTGGATCTAATCATTGCTGTGCACAGAACTTTTATGTTTGTAGTTATTTACTGAGGCTTTTTTTTTTTTTTTTTAAATATAATAGCAAGGATTTCGGGAGCAATCCAAACAACCACTGTTGGGAATTAGTTAAATAAGTTACAGTATATTTACATAGGGAAGACCATGCAGCTATGAACAAGACTAAGCCTGTGCTCGATGGCAGTGATCTGAGCCAACTGAGTCCGCTGTCTGCACATTCACATGCTTGTGCGTGCATGAGCCTGCAACAGTTCTTCACGGTGGCCCTGGCTGGGCAGAGAGAAGGCAGACGTGGGCACAGAGGGAAGGAGGGAGGGACGTTTTTACTGGAAAAGTTGTGGTGTGACTGGTTTTGTTGACTGTGCAAATCAACTGTTATTCCAAGAGTTAAATACATTTTTTCCTACGTACGGGACAGGTATATCACAGGTAACGCTGACAAATGTGTGGCTGAGAGAACCACTCCTCCATCTCCAGTGTGCTGGACAAAGGCTGATGTGGAGGGACCATGGCCACACACAAACCCTGTGCCACAGCATGGCCAGAAGAAGTACAGGAGCCCCCACAACTTTGGATGTTTATGGTTTATTGAAACCTTGGTTTGGACTCCACTCTAGAACGGAACAGATTTTATGGTTATGAGAAATGGCCAACTTCCAGGTGTCTGTGTAGGCCTAGCACCTCCTTAAAGCCTCTCTGAGCCATCCCAGCCAGCCCACAGGGAATCCTTATTTCTGGGGTTCTCCATGTGGTTTGGTGTCTGTCTCTCAAGCTTCACTCCTTGGGAAGCCCAGCTGAGACTCATTCACTGACATTGACACTGACATGCACCGATGACTGCGTCAGCCCTTCGAGCAGTGGACTTTAAGCTTCTCGAAGACAGAGTTCAACTCATCACATCTACACAGAGCTTGGCCCCGGGCAATGCCCATTCCCACACTGCCAGCGCCTCCTGAGGCAGCCCTGGGCAATGTGGCTTGGACCTCGTTCTGAGCCCCCTGCCCCACCTGGATCATGGCGCGCTGAGGGCCTCTGAGCTCAAGGAGCACAAGCAGGCTGGCCGATGGAAAGGCCTGGATGCTGGCTGTGAAGTCCTGCCCTAGGGAAGGGCCCGCAGCAAAGGCTCCATAGCATTAGCTAGATGCTGGGAGTGGGGGAGCAGAAGCTGTGTGTACAGCACGGATGGGGGATAACATTCCACCACAGATCATGCCATTAGAAATACTGTATGAGCAGAAGCAAGATACAATGTACATGTATGAAAATGCCACAATGAAACATTTACCTGCACACTAGAAAATTAATACTAAAGAAACCCCATGAAGGCTGGAGACAGATTAGTGGTTAAGAACACTGCTGCTCTTCCAGAGGACCTGGATTTGGTTCTCAGCACCCACACTGGGCAACTCACAACCAGTGGAAGATCTGATGCCTCCCGTCTCCACAGGCACCTGCGCTCACGGTGCACACCCACACACAGGCACACATTTTTGTTCGTTTGTGTTACACAGAGACAGGGTTTCTCTGTGTAGCCCCGACTGTCCTCAAACTCAGAGATTTGCCTACCTCTGCCTCCTGAGTACTAGGATTAAAGGTGTGCATCACCACTGCCCAGCTTGGAACATAATTTTTAAAAAATCTAAAAAAGGAGAAACTATGAAAAAATACCACTAGTGACTACATATGACACGACTCGTTTACACTAACTTAACTCTCACTGTAAGGCCTGCAGACTAATTATATTTAGAAGTTCACCAGCTTGCTTGCTATCTGCAAAGACTGAAGGGGACAAGTCTGTCCCACTGTCCTCCTGGGATGTAGTCACACACAGACACAGACTGGCAGTGTACAGATCCGTCCCTGTCCCCTGGGTCATCTTACTGCCCCATTAGATGGTCTTCTGTTACCAGAGTGGCCTTTAGCTCCTGTCCTGGTAGGGGAAGGTAGTACCAAACACTAGCTCCTCCTGCCCCTCAGCCTGCTGCTGCTAACAGAGCCACATTGGCTTGAACCCAGGTAACGAACTTGGGCAGCTTCCTGTTGGCTCTTCAGGAGAGGGCTGCAATTAGCACATGTAGACAATAGGCTTGGGTCTACAGCGGTGGTGTGAGAAGCCGTGCTTTTACCTGCACGGCACTGCACGGCACTGCACTGCACGGTACTACACTGTATTGCACTGCAATCAGGGTGCTTACAGTCAGGAGTGGCCCGTAAGCAGCAGTCCACATGGATGGCCCACAGTCCTCTCGGCTGCAGAGTCCCCCAGGCCCTAGTCTTTTACCATTCTCCATCAGTCCGTTGCTACACAAGCCAACACTAGTGTAGGGGTGTGGAGCAGAGGTTGTTGGCCACTTACTCCCCATGTGACACTGAACAAGCTACCTAACTCGGAGGCCTCTATGTGCTCCTCTGTAGAATGTGGGACAGAGCCTACCCCAGAGAGTCTCTGTGGCTCTCTAGAGAGGACAGGGTCTGATGTGTTGCATCCTGCCTTGGCTGATGTTACTCTTCCGAGTTCAGAACTCCTACACAAGGGTAACTATCCTGAGCAAATATGAACAAGCAAGGTACTGCCATGCTCTTCCCGGCCACCAGCAAGCTCAGGGTCCTCACCAGGCAGGGGATGAGTGATAAAACACTCAAAGAAAATGGACATCTTCCGTCCTTGAAACAGCTAGTAAGCAAGCTAACCCTTCTGTGGAAATACAGGCATCACTTATGGAAGGACCAACCAAGTGTTTATAAGCTAGTGAGTGGAACAGGAGGTCCCTCTGAGGCCCTGTGTGTCACGTGGTAGCAGGATCCAGGTCAGGAGGGAGGCATGGGCTTCACTTTCCAGGCTGCAGGCTGTCATTCTGAAGTACCCCAGCCTCCCTCCAAATCTATTCTAAAGATCTTTGAAAAGCAAAAGGTGAGGATGCAGACCTCGCTGGAGAGCCACGTACATCCGGAGAGCTTCAAACCCCTCCCGTAGCAAGAGAAAGGTACCACAGCTAGGAGTGACATTAAAACAATTTGGGGGAGGATTAACGGGAAGAAAACTATCAAATATTGCTGAAGGATAGGAAAATCTGAGTATATGGAAAAAATCCACACATTCCTGGCAATGACCCCTCAAAGCAAAATGCCAGTGTTCCTAAAATTTAATACAAGTTCACAAAAACAAAATCCCTACAGTTTTCGTTTAATGCTGGAAAATTAGCCTACACTTCACCTGGACATGTGAGAGACTGCCAGCATTTTGGAGAAAGCTGAGGAGGAATGCACTGCCCAGATGTTGACCCGCTGGAAGCTGTGATGACCGAAGGCAGCACCAGCACTGCGGCACACACGTCAAGAGTGCAGAACAGACTCTCCAGAAAGAAGAGCTGCGTTCAGCAGATAAAGGGCATGAGTTTGTAGGCTCTGGCCTGGGAGTGGACAGGTCACCACCAAAATAAACCCCAACACACAAAAACACTACAAAACACGCTCACACGAAGATGCACATAGTGCTGTTAGTTTTGCTCAGCGTTCCTTAGTCACGAAGAACGGAAAACCAAATAGCCAAGTGAGAGAGAAACAACCCCAGGGCTCGTGGTGTTCACACGCTAGGGCCTTGTAAAAACTAAGTGCAGACAGGAGCTCCAGCCTCCAGTGCCCACCCTGCGCTCCCTGACTTAGAAGCTGCCAGGCTGCTGTGTGAGCCTATCACCTTTTGCAGGGCCTGACTTTTAAATAGGAACCCTACAGCACGCTGAGCACTTGCTGGTCAAGGGGCAGACACCGAACCAGGGTCAAGGTGGCCTCCATGTGGCAAACGCTCGGTTCTTCCATCCACCCTTTATCCCTTGAAGGGGTTCTCAGGGGACTACTGTGTGCTGCTTCTTCCTCCTGGGCGCTGGAGCCATGCTGGAGAAAGCAAGTCCCTGCCTCTGAGCCATTTAAAATCAGCTCCCACCCGAGCGTCTGAATGGACTCCCTTTGTCCTCTTCCTCACCCACAAGCCCCTCAGAGCTCCCTGCGTGCGGTCTATGATAATCTGCTTTCCTCTCTAACTGGGTCACATTACTCTCTCTCTCACTCACTAACTCACACTGAACTTTCTATGTGGCCAGCTCACTACCAAGGACAAAAAGATGCCAAGTTTTCTGTTTCTCATCAAACGCTGGACCCCGGGAGCATCCTGTGCCTGTCATGCTGACAAGGGTCCCCCAGAGCACGATGACCCGACCCTGCTTAGTGCTGGCTTCTTCATTAGCAGGTGCCCGTGATTACGATCCAGAGAGGAGAGGGTGGGCCTTGGGAGCTGTCTCCCACCGCGGTGTGTGCTCAGAGCCCCTCAGGATCACTGGGTGGCACAAGCTGTGCTGTGTGGAGTCGGAAGAACCCAGTCTCACTAAGGAATCAAAGCCTTCAGGAAGTGAGTAGGGGTCGCCACTGGTTCTGTGCTGAGAACAAAGTTTTGCTGAGCTAAACAGAACCTGCAGGTGCAGATCACACGTCAGGCTTTAAGGGAAGGTACGTTTTCCTCCTTTTCTTTACAGTGATGTCTTCATCGACTGCAGTAGTGATGTCTCACTAATTTGACTGAAGCCCTGGAAGACTCCTCATCACCATGCTGATAATTCTTTGTAGAAATACAAAGGCAGCAACATGCCCAGAGATGCGCAGAAACAGCGGCGCAGTAGCTCCATGCGGAAGACACTGATTCTCT